TTAATTGTTTGCTGCTCTGGCAAATATTAGTAACCAGGGAGTATACTACATGAGAGATATTTGTGTTTAACTTGGTTGGTTTGAGCTTCAATGTCTCAAAATAATATTGTTAGCTGTTTTGCGTCTAGTCTTACATCTCTGAGGTTCCTGTTTGCAACATTTCACACATGGCTGTGCTTGGCTGAGACACCGTCACCCATCCATCCTGCTTCTGCTCTGCTGGCACCTTTGCAGGACCCAAATGTTTTGGGGTTACCTTGTTAAAAGCACAAGAGCCTAAATCACTTGTTCAAATGCACAAATTCATTAAACTTTCATGCAACTCTTGATGTTTTATTTACACAATTATGAGGTTGTCCACAGAAAGTGGCTTGCCAGCCACTCATGCTCGTTTCCCTTTTTTAAAAAGCCTGCAAAAACTGGAAACATCCTGACAGCTGGTTTCACGTCCATTTCATTATGCTGCAGGAAATTAAACTGTGCTACCTTTTGAGTAAATTTACATTTTATTATAACAGTGCAGAAAGTGTGGTCACGATTCTTCCTTCTGCTAACTGTATGCTATGTACGTGCTTTCTTTCTGATCATTAACCAATTAATCCTTTTTCTCTCTCTTTTTCTCTCTTTGCAGACATTTATAGTGCTAAATAAAGGGAAGACAATCTTCCGTTTTAGTGCCACACCTGCCTTGTACTTCATAAGTCCTTTCAATCCGGTTAGGCAAATAGCTATTAAAATTTTGATACATTCATATCCTTTAAAATGATGCTGTTAATAGCAGCTACAAGAGGGTTTCCTGTTCACATGCATTATTCACAATGATATGTTCTGTGTTTCTGCTCACGCCGCTGCTGGTGTTTCTAATGACTGCTGCACAGGAGAAGATCAGTGTGCTACAGTCAGACTTTCTCTCACGTTAGACTGTACAGAGTGCCGTGCAGTAGCCATTTTATCACTGAAGGAAATGGCTGGCACAAATAATGAGTCATCCTTTACAGTAAACCAAGTTAGACCCTTTTAGTACACTCATTATCTGTGCTATCCACATGAGAACTAAAAATGAGCAGCTGTCAGTCGCAGCCCTCTTTGTTTAGGGAGTTATTAAAGACTCATTAGGAGGACGTAGATTGTTTTAAGGGATCAAACAGCAGCTGATCACAGCTAAATATACACTGTGCTGTTGGTCAAAACAAAGAGGAATCTGGTCCCTGATTCATTTGGTAAAAGCTCAGCCAGATATCCACATGCTATAGCCCAAAGAAAGACTCAGCTGTAAAAGAACATTTAACTTTTTTTTTTTTTGCATTTAATTAAAGAGTCCACCAAACCTCCAAACTTCACAGATATGATGGAGCCTTTCTGGTGTAGTATTTAGAAATAAAGCCAAACCATTTAAAACTCTACAGGGCAAAATCTACGGCTTATCTCCAGGATATTATCTGGTTTTTGGTTAAGCTGTGTTTGGTCAAAGCTGTTTTGAATTCCAAAGGGGGACCAACTCAATTTATTATGGTGGCCACATATTATTATCCACCTGAAAAGGGTCTTGCTCTTCTATCAACTTTAATGTGGCTCAAACCGCAACGTGCACCCCCAAAAATGTTATGTCAAATTGACCGGCTCAGCGCCGTGATGTGTTCTATTACTTTTACTGGCAGTTTGAGTTACCATGGCAATGTAATTTGAAAATAAAGACTTAATTTTTCTCATTGAAACAAACTATAAATCAGTCATTTTTTGAGATGTTAAGCTAATGATGTGATGGTAGCTGTGAGCAATGCCCCATAAATACTGATTTCAAAATGACAAATTCAAGATGGCCACCGAGGCTAAATTTAAATGGCTTTAACTCAGCTATTTTAACAAATACAGAGTGGAAATTTGGTGTGATTATAGCTGAGAACGTTCCCCATCACATACTGAATCCAAATCAAAAATCTAAGATCGCTACCATAGCTTATAGAAAATATACTTTAAGTTATTGATTTTTTTTTTTACCACTTTCAGCTGAACTTTGGTATGGTGGTAGCTGAGAGTGAACCCCAACACATAGGATTGTCAAATCAAAATTTTAAAATGGCTGTGATGTGGTAGTCCCGGTCAAAGTTTCTCCAGGAACTTTGTAGTATACAAAGTATTATATACTACTGTGTATCCACAGTTGACACATATATATAGTATTTAATGTGTTCCTGTTGTTGCACAAATTATAAACTAATTTCCTTCTTTGAAGTCACAGCTAAAACACGTTTCAGACTGCCTCTATACTGACACGGAGGCGTTTCACATTATTTTCTGGGTCCAGCTGCTTTATAAGTGAAAGTTTTGGTGCCTAAAATGCAAAGTTATTTTCTTTAGATGGTCAAAAATGATACACAATTTAAATATGTTATAGGATAAATTCATACCTGTGGTTGTGGGCATGGACGAGCACCTTCTGTTAAGTGCTTTGAGTAAGCTTTTATGACTTGTGGTGTCTTATAGTCTGACAACATTATGGATTGCAAATGTAGAGATGCTGATGTGTGTTTTAAAATTGATTGTCTGCACACCTTATATTTTCCTTAACCCATACCGCACTCTTTTCAGCATGATCATCATGTGTACTATTTTGACCAACTGTATATTCATGACCTTTAGTGATCCTCCTGAGTGGTCGAAACAAGTAGAGTGAGTACACTTTTATTAATATCACTCAGGAGTCTATTGAAAAATGCTTTCCATCGGCTTTACTCATATTGTTTAATTAATTTAACAACATAAGTGTGTCTTTTATAGAAAATGATATGCATGAGAAAATAAGAACTAGAAACACCAAATAAAACTAGTATCCCATGGGCTGTGACTGCTGTGGACTAGTTGGCGACCGGAGAAATCTCCAAAACATTTTGAAACATGTTCTGGGGTTCTCAGTTTCCTTGCAATAGCAACAGGGGCTTGTTGTTTTGTCATTAGAATTTTGAGCTTGATATTAAAAATTGCTGAACAAATTTTCTCTTAAAACTAAATTGTTTTGGGCGTCTTGAACTGCCTAAAAGATAACACAGATAGCCACCTGATTTATTTATTTATTTTATGTATTTGCATGGAAGTAAGTATTTGTATTTGTACAACGTATGATTTTTAAAAAATATTTGCAAAATAAAATCTGCATCGACTAGTATGAAACAAAAACAAAAGCTCCTGTATTCTCTGAGCTGTGATGCAGAGCTTCCCTTCAGCTTCATGGTAGGTTTCTGTCCTACCTGAGCTCTCCTGATGACACTTGTGTCAAAGTTTGGCAGGTGTAACGCCAAAGTCAAACTCCCCACCTGCCACAATCTCCAGAGTGGGTTATGCTAAGATGAACGGAGCACTTGACCCAACCTGGGGCATTCTCCACTGGAAAGGTGGAAATATGCCAACAGCAGTGGCATTTTATGGAGGCTGATGGAGCAACAACAGGTCTGTGATGGCCTTAGATGTATGGAGGACCACAGTCATTAATAGCCTACTTGTTTACTCATGTGTGTAAATGTGCACGAGCCACAGACTCTTGTAGGTGTGTTGAAGTGTATGCTGCCCTGCAGAGAAAGCACATCCTGCCTTGTGTTTTTACTTTTAAGCAAACACACTGTTTATTTCAGGAGCCTATTGCCTAGTTTAAAAATATCTGCATTTTTAATTTCTGTCTTTAGATCCAGGTTTATTTAGAAAACATTCAAAGAGACAAGCCCAAATGACCAGGTTTACCTATACCAGGGGTGTCAAACTTACTCACAAAAGGGGGCCAAAATTAACCCCTTTTTCAAACTAAGGGCCAGTTTCAGAATCTACATTAACTCAAGTTCGATACCTGACATATTTTCTTGGTTGTAGGTTCCTCAACAAGAGTTTGATTGGTCTCATTTGACGTTCTCTGTTGCACTTTTGACATCATAATCAAAGTTTACTGAAAAAAATCAAGTGAAAAGGTATTTTACGTTTTAACATATCATCTTGGGGGCCAGATAAGATGTCAACAAGGGCCACATTTGGCCCCTGGGCCTTGAGTTTGACATATATGACCTATACCAATTAGAAAACTGGTCCAAATGTGCTTTTCTTCAATTCAAAACTGCAGTCCAGTAGAGTAAACCATAAAAGTGGTGGTGGCTGCCAAGGTGGGTACAATTTGGTGGGTATGAAATAATGTGCATTGCTAAGAATGTTGTTTTGCACACCGCGCACATGAGAATAGCTGTGCAAAACGTGGCTGCACGGTCTGCTGACTGCTACATTGCAAATACTCAAAATTCAGTTAGAGTTGGACTGAAACTGCAGATTTCACCATTTTATCTCATATTTGTGTTGCCAGCTACTCCAACCATCACAGCCCAGTGAGATGCTGGTTTTATGGGAACAAGTGCAAATGCTTTGAATTTAAGACAAATCAGCTTAGTCACATGCATGCTAACTTTAGCAAACCTTTAGCTCTGTTAATGTGAGAAAGTTGGCATGTTGATTATTTCTTTGAAATTATTTATATTCCACTGTTGTTACTAACTCAATGTGCTGTTCAAAAATTATTTGTCATTATTGTCTGCTTTTATTACCATTATGGTGGAACAAACTGTTATACTGTTTACCAGTTTGTCTGATTCTATTGCTCCAAACGTCATTTAGTGTTAATGCCTAATGATAGTGAAGTTATCTTAGTCAGAAAACTTTGATCTATTTTGCCAAACTTATTGTGTCTATAATTTTGTCTTTCAGGTACACATTCACAGGAATTTATACATTTGAGTCTCTTGTAAAAATCACAGCTCGTGGGTTCTGTATAGACAATTTTACATTCCTAAGAGATCCATGGAACTGGCTGGATTTCATGGTCATTTCGATGGCGTAAGTATTGCTCTTGTAACAGTAGCGTTGGTAGATAGCAATCAATTTGTGTCCCAGCACAACAGATTTATACCAGAAATGGGTAGAGAAGTTCAAGTTTCAGTGATGATCTGTCTGCCAGTCTGAGGTTTTTCCTTTCTGTCTGTTTGATAACCCATTTCCCACGTTTCTTCCATTTATCTGACTTTCTGGTCTTTCTCTTTGGGGATTGATGCCGGTCTCCATCCGGTACACTGCAGCCTCCCTAACAACACCCACACCTCAGGCCCATTCAACAGATTTATCCTCTTCTTGCCAGTCCTCCTTAATCATGTTTTCACTCTCAATCTTGTGGGATCGGCAACATATTCATTAGGACTCCTCATCTTCCCTATTGAGTTTACACCACTGGGTAGTTTATACCAAATTCACCTGCCTTTATGAGCAAATCCATACCCCAGAGTCATCCATTCCATATGAAACACATTTCATTTTATGTTGATCTGTCACAAAACCCACCTGTGCGTAAATTCATCCTTTCATCGTATCTTTGCATGTAAATAATGTGCTGTTGTAACTGTGGTTTGATCCTGCAGGTATATAACAGAGTTTGTAAACCTAGGCAATGTCTCAGCTCTGCGCACGTTCAGGGTGTTGAGGGCATTGAAAACTATTTCTGTAATTCCAGGTAAGACAGGATGGGGCAGGGGACGGTAGGGCGGGGTCGGTGTTAGGTGTGTGTGTCTTTCTTTCCTTTCACCTTCCACCTATCTCCTCAGTGGACAGGCTCTGTGAGTGGCGTCGTCTCCTCCCGGTTCGGTGGTGTTGTGCTCTTGGCGTGTGTGGTTTTTGTCATTGTGTTTGTTCTGTGTGTGATCCTTCCCCTATTTCAGATATATAACAGAGTTTGTGGACCTGGGCAATGTATCTGCGCTGAGAACGTTCAGAGTTCTCCGAGCATTGAAAACTATCTCTGTCATTCCAGGTGAGACTCAGTTTAAACACTAAGGCTGATCCTCTCACCCTTTCTTTTCTACTCACTATTATTATGATTAAAGTTATGATTTAAGCAGCAACAAAAGAATTGGAGACAGCCATTTTTTGATTTATTTTTTTCTCCAAAAATTATCAAAAATGGTACTGATACATTTTTGATAGGCTTTGCAGTCTCCTCTAAGGCTATTCAGCGTGTCTGCACTTTCATTATGAGGCTTGTCTCCAAGGCAGCTGTGTTTTTCTTAAATGGAACCCTGATTAACAAGACCTATAGGTTCTAATAATCCAACTCAAAATGAAATACTAGTTTTTTGGCAATTCCAAATTTTCAATCTGCAGCATAACACATTACTTGATCTATAGTAGTCTTGATTCCCCCCAAAAGAACCAAACATTTGATTTGTTAGTTTTACAGACAAATGAGTCTTTACAAAAAGCACCAAGGCAGTTTCATAAAAATATGTTGCTGTATTTTCCAGTCCTTTGGATATTCTGAAATGTTGTTATTGTACAACAAAACGGTTACAAAATACAGTGTAAGATATGTCTCTGTCATTTCAAAGTATATTCAAATTAATGGTAAAGTTCAAGTTTAATCAGCTAATCACAAAAAAGTAATATAATCCAGCAATATCATCACAACTTAAAGGGATATATTTCTGTGAAGTGTTTATGAGCAGTCAGTATCTTACCTGCAGTAGACACACAATCCATTTTATTTCATATACTTGTAATACACAGATAATATCTTAAATGAGACGTGGTCGAGTTGAATATATATATAC